GATATATATATATATCGCGGTTGCTTTATTCAATTTCACCAGAAGGTCGGCATATCGGTGAAATGATTGATGGTGCCCCACCCCCTCCCCCAACCTCACCCACATGCCCCACCCACGCCCACAGTCTATTATCAGAAGCTTACCCTCTATCTCGTAAGAGATGTAAGAAGGTACCGCGATAGGATTGGCTACTCTATAGAATCGGTGGTGACAGTGGCGTTTAGACACTTTTGGTCGACCTAAATTTGACCAAAGCGCTAGTTTTCTGTACGCCGGTGCGCCGAAATCGAACGTAATTCGAAAATGACAGGCTGGGGGAGTACCGCCAACAACGCCCCCTGTCGCACACTTTACACATTCCCCTCCCGCGTAGTTAACTCTTTAGCTGGGGGTCGGCATTTACCCGGGTATTATGGTATTCATGCGCGACTCTCACTCGGTCCACCACCCGATTACCCGGGGTGGGTGGCGGGGGAGGGGGTGGTTCACTGATTACCCGGGGTGGGAGGCGGGGGAGGGGGTGGTTCACTGATTACCCGGGGTGGCCGTGATCGTATAGTGGTTAACGGCGGTCCGGTTAACTGAGCGTCCGGTCGGTCTAGCCACCAATAATCCCGCCATCTGAAATATTTTGCGAGCAGAGCTATTTTCGAGGGTGTGTTGTGTAAGGAGAAAACTTTTTGCACCAAGGTCGGTGTGGCGTCCCCACCCCTTAAGCATCTCCGGTTAAATGCCACCTGATGCCCCGCCACACACACACACACACACACACACCCAAATGCCCGACGGGGGTTTTACACACCATGTGGTAATTAACCTGTTAAACGTGTCTGACGCATCAGTGCTGAATTCTGTTTTTCACCACGATTGACATACTGTGTTTCAAACCTCCAGCCCACCCCACCCCCGCGGACAACGGAGGAAGGAAGAGACAGAAAAATACGATGACCTCCCACGAAATAGTTGGCACCTAACAACAACAACAACAACAACAACAACAACAACAACAACAACAACAACAACGCCATTCGGACTAGCGGGAGACAACACCGAGGGTGGTGCGTGGCAGGAGGACGAGGAAGAAAAAGAACTGGGGAAGCTCGCAATAACGTGGGGTCCAGACGAGAGCGGGGGGCGGGGGGGGGGGGCAGAACAGGGTTATCAGTATCAGCAGCAGCAGTAGCCGCAGCAGCAGCAGTAGCCGCAGCAGCAGCAGCGGCGGCAATGGCAGCAACAGCAGCAGCAGCAGCAACGGCAGCAGCAGCAGCAGCAACACCACAACCACCACCACCACACACCAGCAGCAGCAAGCAGCAGCAGCACCACCACCACCACCACAGCAGCAGCGAAGCAGCGGCGCAAGCCAGCACCACCACCACCACCAGCAGCAGCTAGCAGGCAGCACCACCACCACAACCACCGACACCATCACCCCACCCCCCACCACCACCACCACCACCACCACCACCACCAGCAGCAGCAGCAGCACGCGCAGACTCACTCACTCACTCGGTCACTCTCACCTGTTTCTGTGCAGCAGCGCGGCAAAGGCGAGCCCGTCGCGCCATGACTCGCTGAAGTTGTTCACCTTCACTCCCGGGTAGCCAGCTACCGTACGCTGCGACCACGTGAGCAGCGCGTCGTGTGACGTCAGGCTCTGCTCGCCCGACACAGTGATGTCCGAGATCTGAAGAAAAAACAAAGATGGCGGATGAGCACGGCGATGTCCGAGATTTGATGGGCGAAGAAAGAAACAAAGATGGCGGATGAGCACGGCGATGTCTGACATCTAACGGCGAAGAAAGAAACAAAGATGGCGGGTGAGCACGGTGATGTCTGACATCTAACGGCGAAGAAAGAAAGAAAGATGGCGGATGAGCACTGTGATGTCCGAGATTTGATGGGCGAAGAAAGAAACAAAAATGGCGGATGAGCACTGTGATGTCCGACATCTAACTACGAAGAAAGAAACAAATATGGCGGATGAAAACTGTGATGTCCGACATCTAACGGCGAAGAAAGAAACAAAGATGGCGGATGAAAACTGTGATGTCCGAGATCTAACGACGAAGAAAGAAACAAAGATGGCGGATGAGCACGGTGATGTCCGACATCTAACGGCGAAGAGAGAAACAAAGATGGCGGATGAGCACGGTGATGTCCGACATCTAACGACGAAGAAAGAAACAAAGATGGCGGATGAGCACTGTGATGTCCGAGATTTAATGGGCGAAGAAAGAAACAAAGATGGCGGATGAGCACTGTGATGTCCGACATCTAACGACGATGAAAGAAACAAAGATGGCAGATGAAAACTCGACTCATGTCGGTGCCACCAGGGGGCGGTAGTTAACGCTTGCTGCCCTCGTAGGGGGTGCTCCGTGCAATGGCGTCCGACTGGTTTCACGGCAGCCGACCGACGGCATTAATAATGGCTTCTTTTAATAATTATTGTTAGCAATAAAAATAAGGAAGTGATATGTTTGCAGGTAGATATGAT